TCATCCTTAGTCACTGTCCAGCTCTCTGATGCATAGCACACACATATATAGTCTGGATCAGGTGCACCTTAGTCTCTTGCCTGATGTCGTTGCTCTTCAGTACTTTGGAGAGGTCCCTGACAGCTGACTTTCCCAATGCAATTCATATCTTGATTTCCTGGCTGCTGATACCATGAATATTGACTGTGGAGCCAAGTAAACTAAAACTGTTAACTATCTTAATCTCTTCCATCCATATTGATGCTGCCAATTGGCCCAGTGGTGAGAATCTTTGTCTTCTTAATGTTGAGCTTCAATCCGTATTGAAGGCTGCAGTCCTTGACCTTCTGCAGCAAGCGCTTCAGGTCCTCCTCAGTTTCAGCAAGCAAGGTTGTGTCACCTGCATAGCGCAGGTTGTTGATGATTCTTCCACCAATTCTGATGCCACATTCCTTCTTGTACAGCCCAGCGTCTCGGATGATCTATTCTGCATATTGATTGAAAAAGTATGGAGACAGAATACATCCCTGGCGTACCCCCGTCTTGATTTTGAGCCATGTAGTGTCTCCTTGCTCTGTTCTGACGACTGCCTCTTGGTCCAAGTATAAGTTTTGCATAAGCACAATCAAATGTTAGGGGATTCCCATTCTTCTCAGCAGTACACCTTAGAGAACATAGTACCAAACTCTTAATTCCTTTGCTGGACTGTAAGCAAATCATTTGCATATACTCTTCCAGTTATTTAATAGGAATTATAAGATTATGACATGCAAGGGCATATAAAAACAATTTATGGAACCACACAAAGATTAGTCAAGCTCTTTGTCTATCTTTTCTCTCCTCTCAAACTGTAATTCTCAAAGCTGCCTTCAAAAGAAATAGTTCTACCTTTTTCATTTATAAATTCTGATAGCTACTTGTAGCTCTCAGAGTTTTACAAGTACTTCTCAGTAGGATTAAATTTACAGATCCTGTGTATAGAGTAGTTCTAGATCCTGGAGGTGGGCAACAATAGAAGAGTTACAGATCTTACATCCAACAGGTACAGATGAGAAGAAGGGAGGTTAAAAGTCCTACCGGCAAACTTTGTTGTCATAATTTTACTTAAGGTTGGGCCTATTCTACGTGTTAATAGAATAGTAAAGTGAATAAAATCACTACTGTTGAGTTGATTGTGAGTCACAGTGACCCTCCATGACATTTCTGAAGCTTTAAATCTCAATGGGGCGGGATTATAGACCATCTCCTGTGGAGCTATTCGTGGATTCAAACTGCTGGTGGCACATAGTCTTTTGGTAAGCAGTACAGACTGTTATCGACTACAATAGTAGATTACCTTTAATAAGATCAAGGGATGCCTTTTCACATACTAACTCACTGTAGAGGACAACACCTACCTAACTTTCTCCTAGTGCTTTGAAATTGGGTATATGATTTCTGAATATTTAATTATAGGAAAATTCCGATGCAAAAAGATTTGTAAATCCTCTGGCATGTATGGCAATGGTGTTTTACCTACAGAGGAAAGCAAGCAAGCACTAATTAGCTATCAAATTGTGCCAGGGTTTCCTTTTCTGTCCTTTTGTTAACTGTCTAATTGAAATCTTGATCTTAACATTTCTATAATCAAGCACTTTGTCATCTTTCCCAGACCTGCTCCTCATCTTTGCCAATGATAATTTCATCCATAAGGTACTCAGGCCAATGACTTCACTCTTAATTCTCCTACATCCACATCCAACACATTTAAAAAAACAAAGAAAGAAAATCCCTCTATGTAGAAGATCAAGGAATGCAGCCTTCAGTATGGATTGTGCCTCAGTATCAAGAAAACCAAGATTCTTACCACCGGACCAATGAGCAGTGTCATGATGGATGGGGAGGAGACAGAAACTGTCAAAAACTTCACTTACTTGCATTCACAGTTAACACCCTGGTACAAGCAGTCAGGAAATAAGGAGACACATTGCAATGGAAAAATCGGCAGTTAGGGACCTTTCCAAATTATTGAGGAGTAGTGATATCAGTTTGAGGACTAAGGTGCCTGTGATTCAGTCTTTCTGAATACTATCTATATACATCCAAATCTTGGACAGTGAATAAGGATGACAGAAAACAATTGATGCCTTTGAGCTGTGGTGTTGGAGAAGAACACCGATGGCCAAGAGAACGAACAGATATGTCTTGGAGTTGCTGTAGCCAGAGTACTCTTTGGAGGCAACAATGATGAGGCTTTGTCTCATTTACTTTAGACATGTTGCTAGGAGGTGCTATTCCTTGGGGAGAGACATAACGTTTAGAAGGGTGGAGGGTCAGCAAGGGAGAGGAAGACCCTCAACCAGGTGGATTAATATGGTGACTACTGCAATGGGCTCTTATGTGTCTGGAAGTGTGAAGATGGTGCAGGATAGAACAGTGTTCAGAACTTTTGTTCAAAGGGTTGCTATGAATTGTACTCAACTGGATGTCACCTAATAACAAGAACAAACAACATATTACTTTTAAATACATCTAAAATTAAAACAAAACAACAACAACAACAACAAAAACCCCTCAAGTTCATTGCCATCAAGTCAAAATTGACTCACAGGACCCTCCAGTGGGTTTTTGTAGATTGCACTGGAGGAGATTGGCTATATTTCTTCTATGGATTTAAACTGTCAGAGAGGTTAAATCCCCCTTAACAGCACAACTCTCTACTGACTGCACCATGAATTAACATCTCCCCTCTAGGTCCAAGGCACCTACATCATTGTAATGGACTTCTATCTAGATTTTACTTCTATAGTTCCCCATCTCTCATTATGGAACCTTGTTGTTCTCGTTATCGTGAGTGGCTCATAATTGACCCATAGCTGACCCCCTAGTGGGTTTTCAGAGGCAGTCAATCACACAGGAGGAGATTCTCTGACCATCCATCTCCTGAGGAGCAGCTGGTGGATTTGAACCATGTGCCCTTGGGATTGCAGGGCACCTTATCACTAGGCAATCAGAGCTCCCTCATCATGGCACCTAGACCAAACATTTTAAAACTCAGGCAGATCATGTCACATTTTCTATTTTGTGGAGAGCACAAATAGTTTCTACAGGTTCCATACGTAATATGTATCTTTGTACTCTCTCCACTTACCCTGTTCCAGTTATTCTGGTCTCTTTCCTATTAAACACCCACCTCAAAGTCTTTGCACGGTTGTTCCCTCTGTCTGAAATGCCTTTCCTCTTCTCTAACTCCAAGTCTTTGCTCAAATATCACCCTTTTGCTGTGAAGCCTTTCCTATTTTAAATGAGACACGCACACCTTGTATATATGTTTGTTGTTCTTAGGTATCATCTGGTCAACTACAACTCATAGTGACCCTAGGAAGAGCAGATCTGAACCTTGCCCTATTCTGCACCATCCTCCAGTCCATTGTTACAAACACTATGTCAATCCATCTTGTTGATGGTTTTCTTCCATCTTTCCCAGCATGACGTTCTTCTCCAAAGACTGGCCCCTTCTAACAACATGCTCCAGTGTGTGAGATGAAGTTTCACCATCCTTGTCTCTAAGAATCATCCTGATTGCATGACTTCCAAGACAGATTTATTGGTTTGTTCCTTTTTCAGTCCATGGGATATTTGATATTCCTTGCCAACACCACAATTCAAAGACATTGATTCTTCTTCTGTCATCCTTATTCATTGTCCAACTTTTAGATGCATGAGAAGTATTGGTAAAACCATGACCTGGTTCAAATGCACCTTAATCTTTAAAGTGGTGTCTTTGCTCTTTTAGCACTTTGGAGAGGTCCCTGGCAGTAAATTTCCCCAATGCAACACGTCTTTTGATTTCTCGAATGCTATTACTACATGTGTTGTTTGTGGACTCAAGTACCATGAAACTGACAACTACGAGCTTTTCTCCATCTATCATGACGTTGTTTATTGGTCCAGGTTGAGAATTTTGTTTCCTTACCACACTGTCATTCCTACCCTTCCTACATGCTTTTTCTTTTTTTTTTTTCTCTCCACAGCACTTGCCACCATCTGACATTGAATTTATTTGCTTGTTCTATCCACTTCTCTCTATTACAGTATAAATTCATGAAAGATGAGATTACAGTTATTTGGTTCACTGCGAATACTTTGGTGTTTAAAACAGTACTGGGACGTAACATAGACTTCATAAATACTTTTAAGATGAACAAATTCATTCTTTCAACAATTCCAGGTAGTTACTAAGAATCTCACTTGTCAGATGAGAAAGATATGCCATCACCACCACCACCATCAAAATTCAAATGCATTTTAAATATTTAAATCTCAAATTTTAAAAAATTATCCAACAATAAAATACTATTTAAATAAATTATTGTACATAAAAACCATGCAATAATATACATCTTAAAAACAATGCTGACACAATACTCTTGTTACAAGGCTGTTGTGGACATAACAATGTTGTTATATTGATTTAATGACTACCAAGCTATGTTGTTATGTGAAGTACGGATGTATGTACTACACATTATCATCTACTTAAGTATCAGGGAGGAAATGTCATTAGTTGTCATAAGCATAGCTTGTGTCTAAAAGAATACAGAAGAAACATGATTTACTGCTGAGAATAGAAATTGAGTGTGTGGAGATGGGCACATGAGGATGTCTTTACCTAAACTTTGGATTACATATTCAAAAATGAAATAAAAACCATAGCTTGTCTAAAATCAGATACCTAATACATAACAAGGAGTAATAACTTAAATTCAGAATGTAAATTATTCCAAAGTTCACATCTTTTCCACTATTCCATTCTGACTGTTGGGGAAATATTACAAAGCCATCCCATTTCTCTTTTATAGTATGTTGAACTCTTGAAACTCATCTCTAATGCAATCAAATACAAGTGAAAATCTACTTTGAATATCAATAATGTTCATGGCATAGAGCACCAGTGTATGTATATGTGTGTTTGTGTGTGTGTGTGCGCGTGTGTGTATGTGTGCCTTTCATGATCTCCTAAAATATTTTTTTCCCCGTAGCTGCTGGCTGGGGTTTCAAGAAGGCCCTAATTTCATTAAAAGTACAATGTTGTGGTCATTCTACATTCCTGTTACCATCATTCTTATAAGCAATGTTGTTATATTTATTGTCATCACTGTGAAAGTGTTGTGGAAGAACAATGAGAATCTGACAAGGTAAGAGCAATACTTTGGTCTTAAAACCAATATCCTAACTCTTTAGCTCTTTGGATAAATCCTTGACAGTAACAGGTCTTTGTCTTCTTGACTGTTTGGAAAATCTTGATTGTGGATCCCAGTAAAATGAAATCACTGACAACTTCAGTCTTTTCTCCAGCTGTCGTGGCAGTGACAATGTCATTGACTCAGTGGTGAGGATTTCTGTTTTCTTGATGCTGTTATGTAACCTATAGTGAAGACTGTATAGTCTTTGATCTTCTTCAGTATATGCTTCAAATGCTAAATTGGCCTGGTTATAATTAAAAGTCTGTTCAATTAATTGTAAAAGAAAATATGTTATCTTTGGAAGTTTAAATCCACTGGCAGTTTTATGGGGAGTAGATGGACAACCTCATCCCATTAAGATATGCAGTCTCAGAAACTCAATGGAGGGTCACCATGATTGGAAATTTGTTGTAAAGTAGTGTGTTGGATTTGGCTTATCAATATATGCTGCCTAATAAACTACTACAAACTCAGTTGTTTAGAAAGGAGTATTATGAGTTATAAAAGTATAAGCAGTGCTATTTATTGAATTTATATTTAGTAAATGCCAAAACACTTTTCAAATTTAATCTAGTTTCTTTGAAAAGCTTTGCAGAATGGAGATAGCCAGAAAGGCCATCTCAAAAGCAGAAAGCTCTGGTGTCTTTTTTTTTTTTTCCTTAAGGAAAAGTTTTGCTTAGGGAAAAATCAGGATGTTCATGCTAGGTTCAGAACATTTTAGCATGATTAACTAGTATCATCATTGTTGTTGTTATGTACCATTGAGTCAGCTGTGACTCTTAATGACTCTATGTCCAACAGCTTGAGACTCTGCCCTAGCCTGAGCCAGTCTAACTCTGACACACCTAAACCCATAGTCCCAGTTACCATACCACTCCATCTCATCCAGGGTCTTCCTCTCCTGCACTGTCCCTCCACCCTTCAAAGCATGATGCCCTTCTCTGGTCCCTCCTGGTCACATACCCAAAATATATGAGATGGAGCTTTAAAATCCTTGCCTCCAAGGAGAAACTTGGTTTCACCCTCTCCAAGAAAGACCTATTTGTTTTACTGGCAGTCCATGGTGTGTTCAAGAACAAGTAACTGTGAAGACTATGGCCTAGATTAGGCACACTTTCGTTTCTAAACTGACATCAATGCTCTTTAGCACTTTAAGGACATCCTTGAAAGCAGACTTCCCCAATGCAATTAATCTTTTGATTTCCTGACTGCTAGTGCCAAGAGTGTTGCTTGTGGAGCCAAGCAAGCTGGAATTATTAACAACCTCAATCTCTTTTCCATTCATCATGGTGCTGCCAGTTGGCTCAGTGATGAGAATTTTCGTCTTTTCTATGTTAAGCTTCAATGCATATTGAAGACTATAGTCCTTGACCTTCTGCAGCGAATGCCTCAGGCTGGTCCTCATCAATTTTAGCAAGCAAAGTTGTGTCACCTTCATAATTCAGATTGTTGATGAATCTTCCTCCAATCCTGATGGCACATTCCTTCTCATAAAGTCTAGCCTCCCAAATAATCGGAAGAATTTAATTGACTCAGAAAGCATTAAAAATATGGAAGAGATATACAAAGTAATTGTTGTTGTTGTTGTTATGTGCCATTGAGTTGTAGATGACTCATAGCACCCTATGAACGAAAGGCCTGAGCACTGATACAGAGTAATGGTACAAAAAAAATGGCTGACGCAGAAGAATTTAATAAAACACATATGATCAAGGGGCAATGGTGATGAATTTCAAGCTGTTCTGAAGAAATTGACAAAAACAAGACCCCAGGAATTGATGGCATACCAATTTTTCATATTTAACATATTTAATTTTTATTTTTATGTATTTTAACAAATAGATGCTGCCCTAGATACATTCACCAAGAAAATTAGAGAATAACTCCCTGGCCAACTTATTGGAAAAGATCCATATTTATTTCTATCCTCAAAAAAGGTGATCTGACAGGGTGTGAAAATTATCAAACCATATCACTGATTTCACACACAACCAAATCCTGTTGAAAATGATCCAAAAGTGACTGAAAGAGTACATTCACAGAGAACTATCAGAAATATAAGTTATGCTTAGAAGAGGTCGTGGCACTAGAGACATCACCAATGTCAGATGGATCTTGGCTGAAAGCAAAGAGTACCAGAGGAATGTCTGTGTTTCATTGACTGTACAAAAACATTTGACTGTGTAGATCACAACAAACTGTGGCTAAAGTGGAGAAGAATAGGAATCCCAGAACACTTGATTGTGTGAAACCTATACTTGGACCAGGAGGTAGTCATCAGAACAAAACAAGTAAACACTGTATGGTTCAAAATTAGGAAAGGAGTCATGGATGCATCATGTCTCTATACCT